TTAAGATCATATATAACCAGGACGTCTTGTTCATCTGTTATTCTGTACGGATCCCAAAATATACAAAGTTCTCCAGAATCATAGAGTTCTTTTTTAAACGATACTTTACTCATTTGTCTTATTTAATCCATTTCCGTTGATAGAAGTTTTAAAAATGGGCTACTTTGTCACAGTTAATTCACATGAAACCCAAGTTTATAGTTCCCTTATACGTTTCTGTTTTCAATAATTATGCTGTAATATAAACACAAATAATAATATTTAAAAAATTCCCCTTCAATGATAATTCTATTGTCTAAAAAACTATCACCATATTAAAACACAGATACATGAACAAAGTATATTCACTCCAGATTTGCAAACCTATGTCCCTTCAACAAACTGGTCATAGGTCGCACAATATTCCTACACAAACGCATTCACAAAACCAAATGGACCTCACCGGATTACACTACACAGAACCGAATTGACCATATCTACGATAACTTTAATCATACTTTTGCTGAACCACACTGGGAGGTGTACATGAGCACGAAAATATGAATTCCTAGAATTTGTACCAACATAACTTCCTCCACAAGAGCAGCTGGATTAATAGCTACGAAAATAGGTGGCTGGTCTAGGTAGTTTATCATTCCATCTTGATGTGACCATTGAACACGTAGAAAACATTAATTATAGTTTTCCTGTTAAACAGGTTCTTTAAATTCCGTTGCACAACTTCAGTATTAGTGTCCCGTTGGGCGCGTCATGTCTAAATTATAGTTGTATAAAGAGACTTTATGCTTACAGTTACGACTTCCTTTTTCTTTTTCTTTGTCTAAATATATATTTGTAAACTTGTTAGAGTATCCATTTTCTCCCAACTGCATCTGAGGAGCAAGTAGCCTTGATTCTGCATTAAAATGTTTTTGCGAGGTTTCTCGTATTGGCAGTAATAAGCACTTTACTTGTTTATGTTTCTTCCTAGTGACCGATCTACTCACTTTGTAAATAGGTGATCCTGAGAGGTTATTCTGCCTCCATCAATAATTCTGTTTTCTTTTTCAAGTAGTCATTAATTCACTTTCTATAATTTTAAACGATGTATCTAGCTTAATCATGGTCAACCTTTGAATTATTGATTTGGATATATAATCATGGAATGTGAAGAGAATTTATTGAAAAGTATTATTGTGTTGACCAAAAAAGCAAATATTTTCTGTAAGACGATCGGTCATCCAATACCTACGCACTCAAGTAGTTAACCAGGTAGCAAAATTTAGCGTTTCAACCAATAGTGTGATGTTTACAACGGATGATGAAATATTATCATCATTAAATTTTGGATTATTGTGGTCTAAACAATTTACCTTATTCCTTGTGTTACTTACAATTTATAAGTAGTATAAATTTGTATCTTACATTATCCCTAGTGTCTCAATAGAATTTCGTAGAAATGTTTGTGAGACAAGGGATCCCATAACCAATCGAAACAACTTATTCTAAATAGCTTTATGTTTACAGCTTTTGAGTAAGTTTCGTCTGTATTATGGGAAACAGTGTTAGATGGCTTGTAAAAATAATATTATATAATTGAAATCATGAGTCAATTGAAGGTAGACTACCATGAAAAAGCTGGAAGCACTGGACGGCTGTTTTGTCCTATTATGGGACTCCGCGGCAGTGCGCATCCACGATCTCGCCTCGAGAGATTTGGGGATTGGTTGGAGTTAGAAATTAACACAGTTGGATGCCGGCTCAGTGGTCTATCGGAGCGAGACTATTAGGTCCGCCGTTCGAATATCGCAAGGCGGGATTGTGGATACGCCCTGCTGAGGAGTCCCATGATAGGACAAAACAACCAGGATTTCGTGCTTCCAGGATTTCCATGGTGGTCAATTGGCTCATGATCTCAACTATGAAAATACAGAAATCTCCACAAAAAAACCGCTTGTGAATATTTTATAATATGTAGAGAACATCAACAAATTGTAGGTGAATTAAAGTCGTGAAATATTCGATTTACTAAAAGTCTTTTTACTCCATCAATACTCATATTTCTGTTATATGCATAAAATTACCGAGAATCACACAGGTTCTTCAATTTTCGAGTATACTTTATACTTGTATGAGTAATCTATTGATAATGTTCATCAGATGCTACCAATTTTTAGTGCAAAACAAAAAATGTAAGATAAAATCTACGGGAGACTAAGTTGAGAAGGGTTTTCTGTGGATATTGCAGTAATTTCAACAGTTGAGATCATCAGTCAATTGAAGCTAGATTACCATGTGAAATCTAGAAGCACTGAACGGCCGTTCCGTCCAATTGCGGGACACTTCGGCAGTACGCACGCATGACCCCATCTCGCGATGTCTGAATCCAGGACCTATCAGTCTCGTGTGCGTGCGCCTAACCGTTAGGCCACTGAGCCTGACGGGATTGGTGTTAATTTCTAACTTCAACCGATCCACGAAATTCAGCGAAACATCCACCACTGTCTTCAGTGAGTTACCATCTCATAACAGACCTGGTTGAACTCCACTGGTCACTCCAGGAAATACCTCTTGAAGCCAGTCACTAGTGAGATTAATCGTCAAAATTAATTACAATTAGTATGGATAAGACACACATTGAGGAAATCACCCGAATGAGCCAAAATACAAGCCCTTAATAAGAAAGGAGAAGAGGAAGACCAAAGGAAACATTACGCCGAGAAATGGATACGAGAAGAATGAACAACAATTGGATAGAAATACAAATGAAAGCGCAGGACAGAGTGGGTTGTAGAATGTTGGTCGGCGGCCTATGGTCTATTGGGGGTAGCAGGCGTAAGTAAGTAAGTAAATATCATTACATGATAGACAACAATTATAATAATGCGTATTTAAATATTCGATTTGTGTTTTCTTTTGTAATAATTTCAGAAAGATGACATTTGGAATAAACTATAAATTTCAGGTGTAACTGTTTGTTTAATTTATAGCTTTCACACAGCACATTGCATTTATCTGAACAATCAGTGAAAAATAGGAAACAACAAGCAGCTTTCTCTATATATAATGCAAAACTTTGCTAGAGGTTGGTTCCAGGACTTTCGTTTTACACATCGAGACACAACAACACCGTTACTGCATACCCTACGAAAGCGTATTTCTGTACCACTGATTAATTTTAGATAGAAAATCAACCAAGAGGTACCAGACAGCTGTTTAATCAAAATATGGTGCTCCTTACAAGTGTCCATTAACGACAACTTGAGGATTGTATTTGTTGTTTGAAATAGAACATAACTGCACTGAATAGTTACCCCTCCCCTACATTCCAATGGGTATAGATGCTATCTTTGACTTTAGTTTCCAGCCCGTAATTATGTATTACCTTAGTTATTACTATCAATTATAAATCTCTTTTTTACTGTTGTTTCTTTTATAAGCTCAACTAAATTTAATTGAGCTATTCTATTTTTCGGGTATAACATTTTCGGAATTTTCCTTCCTTAGAAACCTGTTTTTGTAAATGATGAAGATTTATGAATAGTAACTTTGAGGACTATTTACGGACCGATACTATGTGTATACTTTTATTGTATAGTTATTAACTAACTAAACTATTCGTATCCATATCTCTCTTATTATAAGCTTTGTTTTGACCTATGAACTATTACTATACGATTTACTATTCTTGAATAATCCCCAGACTATCAATTACTGTTCCCCCTATTCACAGCCACATTTGGCTAAATCTTGTACAAATGTTATTTTCTATTTTATGGTACGATGTGATCTGTTTGTTTGGTATATAAACCCAGAATGTTTGAGAATAATGATTCATATTGCAGAGGCTGTTACTGGTGTTCTGGACTTAACTGGGTTGTCTAGGCAGATAGCAGGACTGATAAATACTGAAGACTGCTCATACGGCTTTTGTATATCATTGGGCGATCAATAAATTCACTCCCCACTCATTGGCGGGCATCATCACAGGGCACTCTCAATCGATATAACAGCAAATATAAGAGAAGATTTTTCTTTGAAAATCTTCATTATAGTCAATTTTTGCAAGCATATTCAAACATTTGAAACTGCTTATAATTTTTACATTATTATTTCCTCTTTTCCATACTGTTATAATACTCGGTTTTTCCTGTCTACACGAATGCGATGTTAATTTGCCTTAGACGAATATCTACACTAGATACCCTCCCGGTGTTTATTCTACGGGACGTCAGCATAACTCAGAACAGGATCACTTGACCAACCTGACTATTTCTACGGCAAAAACTGGCAACAATCTGACAACCGGACAATAATCCAATATCAAGAGAACATATAACTCATCTTGTACGTGTCAGACTATCTGCTAGTTTAACTAAGCAAACAACCGACCATTATCTTCCTCACTCACACACACACACAAATCTTTTATTAATGAAGATATTTTTAAGTAGTATTCTTTTAAAACAGTAAAACAATTCTGAACAACTGGTTATTCTTACTTAATTCTTCGAAGAATTAATCATACATAGACTGATAGTTTGGTTAAGAAATAAACAAAACACTCAGCAGAATTACATTACAATAAATCATATTTATCATTGTCAATTATTTTGAAAAAGAAAGGGGAGAAGAACACACCCGGAAGACAATATTGAAGAGGTTTGTATTATTGAACCAGTAAGATGAATAAATCGCTTTAATGTTACTAAATTACAATGTTCAGTGTTTAAAGTTTACGAGAGAGTCTATGATATAGATTGTTTATATGATAGTCGTTATGTTATGAAGAGACATTTATTTTTGAAGAGAGGAAGGAAAAAAAAATTTTGTTTTGGAAAATAAGTTGAGCGAAAATTTTGAATCAAAAAATGACAAACCCCTCCCCCGAAAAATCGTGTTGGTAACAAAAGATAAACAGTATGTTTTTTTGTTGTTGATTATATCATCTGTTAGCGATGAGATAATTACATGAAGTTATAATTCAATACGGATCCATTTTTTTAACAGTTTTTATCTAGTTACCTCCTTTTATTTATCAATATAGCCATTAGGAATATTATGATCTGTTTGGGGGAAAAAAATTAAATATAAAAGCATATTAGAGGAATAGTTGGTTTACATGAGAGGTTATCAGTGAACATTTTTGACAATGTCTTGTACCAAAAATGATATGGCTATCGAGAGCTCCCATATTTTTCACTGATTGCCTAATTAGTCACTTCGTATTCCATATTGTCCTTAGACTAGAAAATCGCTTGTTGATTTTTGGTTGTCTTTAAAAATATTCTTAAAGCTCTATCGAGAAGCCATGCTCAGTGAAGTTCAACCATGTACGACGTGGAAAAATGGAAAGTTTTAAACATCATTTAAGCAATTCCATTGACTAAAACGAGTAGTAGATAGTAGTTTATTCGTTTAATTTTATACTCTTATTCAATATACCGTACGAAATCGTATTCGAAAAATTCGAGTCTCTGTACAAATGAAAAGCTTAGTTGAAATTGAGGATTATCATTATTTCTAGGTTCAGTAGACTGATAAAAAAGAAGTCTCTTTCCACTTAATATAAATCATCTTCGAAGTATAAATTTCTTCACAAACCGACTGACCAAATATAAGGTTTAAGTACATTACTAACTGAAATACAGAGAAACCTTAGGAACACTAGTTGGTAAACCCTGAATTATGGAATCAGTCATGCTCTAATAAGGATAGTAAACAGTACGTACGTTTTGATAAAAAATGGACTACAGTTTGATATATGGTGAAAATATGATAGTGTTCTGACAATGGTTAGTAGTTTCGTACTTGTTTAAGCTTCACTGATGTGTACACATTCCTGAACAAAGTCCCGGACTATAAAAAAATAACCACCGATTCCTGACTAGTTTTCAATGACTTTCTAGACGAAATCATTTGCAGCAGAAAACTATTCTTTAAATCCGTAGTGCATTGTACCCTAATAAACTGTTTTATTGTTGATTAACTGTATTCGAAGCAACTAGACAATACTGAGTTACACATGCTTATGAATGCTAATGTCATTTGCTCCTAAAAACATAATCAGGAACAAACAGAGAAAGTATTACAGAAGAATTGTATACTTAAGATTTAAATGAAAAAAAAACGATTATTTTATGTTACATTACTCAGTTTTCAAAGTAACAATAATGTGTGCCATTTTATACCCCTAATAATCCTGTCATTTAGTTTGTTGAGTTCTTAAAGATAACGATAAACACTATAAAATTCACTCAGTAGTCATAAAGCAATTAAAAAGGCTTTACAGATTTAAACTTTGAATTATCCAGAGTTTTCAGTCAAAAATACTATCCATGGACTGTTCTAAATTCGGATGATTTCATCGGGTGTTAGATTGATTATATGAGATTTTAATGGTTAGCTGATATGAAATTGGTTAATCCTTAACTGTGGATTACAACTAAACTTTTCTACTTCTTAATGACTAGCAAATCGGGAATCATTAATTAGTGTAAACGGATTCCAAAAGGTTCTCCAATTCAATCCTGTGTAATTTTGACAACAAACCGATCTTGTTGTACAATCCCACTGATTTATGATATATATTAATTTTACAATGGATGACAATTCACTATGGTAACTAGCCTCATGTTTTTAATTTTCTTTATAAGAATGTACATTCAAAGTTCGTCACAATAACTCATTTCATTGAGTGTTTACACACAACCCCATTTCTGAGAAAAACAGTATCAAATCATCAACTGATTAAGTCTTCCAAATAATTTCCTAAAAGTTTCCCATAAACGATTTAGACAAATTCAAACAAGCAAAGTTATTCATATAGTCAGTTAGCCAGTCAGTCAGCTACAACGTAGGACCAGGCACATATATGCATCGGTCCAAGTTGCCATACCTTATTAGCACAACAAGATGAACACCGGATTCATAGAAGTAGTTAATTTAGTGGTGGTGATACATGAAAGGAAGATTGTATACAAGGATACAGTATAGGAAGCAAGATAGATATGAAGCGATTTTAATCTCACTGTTTAAGGGAAGACAAAGAGTGTATACACCTACGCCATTGTGATCGATTCTGAACCATGTCAACCACAGTCTCCAACCATTGGTTACGATAACCGCGCGGACTCCAACCAAATAGTCTTTATTTACCAACATGGTTGAGACTAGAAGTTAGTGACTTCAAGCTCTGATGCCACTGATGAAGTCAGTTAAACATATAACCAGTCAGACAATTAACTGAATCATTGAAATACTGTATAAACATGCATTTTTCCACTACCGCAACTCAACTAAGTGGCTTTATTTTTTCAATCATAAAATTGATAGGTTATCAAATGAAACCATTAATAAACTGTAAGTAAATAAAAAGCAAACAAACTACCCCACTTACTTCACATAATAAAAGCATCAATGATAGATATGCTGCTATATCAACGTAATATGTTAAGAGTCGATGTAATGGTTTTAAGCATCCATTATGTATATTGGAAATTTTAAAACTTTTAGGGCATGATTCATCTTGTATTTCAAGATTTCCATTAAATCTACAACATGGTACTGGATATTTCAAATTTGTATCTATTTACAGACAATATAAAGCGAGAAAAATATTAAAGAAAACATAATCCATATAATGTTAAGCAAAGATGGATAGTGGCTAGCAGTAGAATCCGGTTTGGAGCGCGTTTCGTCCTATTTGGGACTCGTCAACTGGATGTACCTGCATCTCAGAGTTAATGCCTACTCTGGGACTTGAACCCAGTACCTTTCGCTTCAAACGTCATTGAATTAAGTCTTAAAGATTTTTAAACTTTATTATTCAATTAGATAAGTTAAATAAACAATTCATAATTGGCATTTTGTTATGAACGTTTATGGTGCAAAATATGAACGAAAATTTGTAGATGTTTTAGTTACTATTTGTAAATTCGAAGAAATCAATCCTTTAAGTGTACACTATCAAACAGAAACTTTACTACTGAATTATTTTGGCCATAGAAATGCTAATCCAATACTAAACAATGAATAGTTAATAACTGATAATGTATTTGGTTTTCAATGGTTGTACTATTAACAAGAAGTAATTGAGCAATTTTACATGAATCAAAATGGGATCTTTGGTGAAGATTTTGATTTCAAGTATCGTTGATACAATTACTTTAACCCTTATCAACAGAAAACTATAGATGTTTGTGGTAACGCGCTCAAAGAATGATTTGTAATTGTATATTCATTAAATGTTGAATGATGATCAGAATAGATTCCATGCCACTAGGTGATTACTCTCGGAGAAATAGACTTTTTTTAATTACTATTCCTTAATTCAAAGATGATTGGGTTGGAGAACTCTGGTCGGCGGCCTATGCTCCATTGAGAGTAACAGGCGTAAGTAAGTAAGTAAGTAATAAGTAATCCAAGGAAGATCATTTTACAAGTGAACTTGCACTCATTTACAAATAATCATCAGTAGTAGTTCTTAAAAGGATCTTTTTACAATCTCATCATAATTTTACAATTATGACAAATAACTGTCGTAGACAATCAAAAATCTTATCAGTACAACAACAGCTCAAAACAACAATCTTGTTCAAGAAAATAGTTTTCCAAAAATGCAAAAACAAGCTGTTTAAAGGCTCATTAAACTATGATTCCCAATATGTTACATCATCAATCTACTAACAGTTTCTGATTAATAATAATTATTATTAAGTATAAATTAAATCGTTAAAGGTTAATTTACATGTTACACCATTCCAAACATCCGTCCTGTCAAATTTAACTGGATGGTAAAAATCACTTCCATTTCTGGCTCCACAACAATTTAACTGAAAAAGAACAAATTAAAAATTTGAAAATTGTCTCAATCAAACTACAATCATGAAGTTTACTAGTGAATAACTTTCAGATGGATTGTCGGCATTCCGTTAAGATGTCTTAACTAGTGAAGTTCGTTCATAAGACAGTAATCTATCGATGGTTTTGATTGAATACTGTCGTATATCATGAATTAACTGAATTTTGAAAAAGTAAAATAATGAATTTCAATTGAAAGACTTCAATATGTTGTGGCGGTTTTGGTAACCGAGTACCCTGGGTTTGATTGCACATTATATAGATCTGTGTTTTATTTTTAAAATATTATGATTGTTTTTTATGCAAGCTGTTTGGTTTTTCTAAGGTTTATAAATTATTCTCTAGGTGATAGATGTTCATAGTGCAACTTAATTTAAAGGTTACGAACACTGTATAACTATAAAAATCACTATCACTGAAACCGTTACCTACTCTTCATAAATACACAATTGTGTATGCATAAGAAATTTTAATATTTTGTTAGTAAACTGGACATGTCATATATGACAGTTTCACATGATTAGTGTGGGTTAGCTATTACTGAATGAACTGCCCATTTAGCCAAGTTCACTGCCCACACTTTTTGGAACATCAAGTTATAGGGAATATTTATTTGGAATTTAAAAACACAATAACTCGTCTTGAAGTTTTATTTTCATCCGTTTATTTGGGTTGCTCAATCGTTTAAAAGTAATTGTAATAACCGGACAATACACTGAATCAATTCAATTCGTAATTTAAATCACCGACTGATTATCATACCTCAAATATTGAAAACTAGGATACATGTATTGTCTAAGTATGAGATAATTCAGAAGTGAGGATCCAAAAAAATCGCTAGAAATCAACTTAAAGCTCTTAAAGTCCGAAGACAAGCACTTAATTTTCAGATAATTGAGTTGATCTCAAAAGGATTGGATTTCTAACTTCAGTCACTTCGATCCCAAGCGTGGCGGTAGGTGAACATTGTTGAGATATCTTAAAATAAGACGAAATAATTGTCCATTGTTTTTTAAGTGACATAAATAATCTTTACAAACCTCGTATATTAACAATAATAAAACCGATAAATGCTACTCTATTTGTGTAAAATGAAACACTTACCTTCATCATGATAAGACCCATTAAGATACTATTCGGATCACCACTGGAAATACTTACATATTCATGAATTGAATAATTCAAAAATTGAATTAAAAATTTATGAGGCTGTTGTCGTATATACGAAAGGAAAAATAAAAGGAAGGGGAAGAAAACGATGTAGGTGATCATGATCAAATTAAATTCTGACAGATCATTGATTAATGGGACATTCCGGTTTTAAAAAACTGCTTATTTATTAAAACAAAGTTATTTAAATGTAAAAATTTCAGTGGATTATGGAATCTTGTGAAGGGTTAAAGGAATATATATAGTAGTGAACATTTCTATTCTGAGTAATAGAGGCCTAACCAAACTTGCATTGTCATCCTAGACAGTGGCGATCAGTGTTCTTTAATTATATTGTCTAACTAAGAAAACATAACAACAGTCAAAACATGATATCTTAGCTACAAAAATCTTCATCATCTCATAGTACTAAAATAGCTGTTTTGTGTACACGTGAGTAAAAAATTGAATTTCTGACATTTCAACTTTACCATAATTAAACATTCAGTTTGATTCATAAGATTGATCTTAACTCAGCTTTTGTTGTGCTGTTTAAAAGTGTAAAAGGGCGTATACTAAGGTTTATTGAAGCCTTAGCCATACGAAAATTCAAACCCCCTTTGTGTATTCAAAAACAGTTTGTTCTCTCCTTAAACCTACCCTGGTAATATATGCTTATTATTCAGAGTGATTAGGTGTCAAGTTGTTTTCACATTATTTTATCATTATTATCCTTGTCTATTCTTACCCCTATTTCCAGTCTAGTTGACTTTTTATTCTTTTATATAAATGTTCTTAACAAGTATAGAATGTGTGATCAGATTGTTCGAAATGTATTGCGCTAATATATCACATAGTTCTGATAATCTTCGTCTTCTTATTACATTATCGAAATTAAACATTCAGTACTGAATTGAGTATTCCTTATTATTACCATTGGTTATTATTATTACCTTACTGGTATTTTATCACAGTCGGCTTCTTACTAGTGCTCATATATAATGCAACAGCATACTGAGTAATACTAGGATCAAAGTACAGTACTTGACATACAATTTATGTCGTTTCATAGTGCTGTGAATCTATATTGGTCAACAAGGTTTTCTGTGCATGAAACACATAACAATCACTAGTAACTGTTACGTACAATATTGGTTAGAATTACAGTTCATCAGAATATATCTATGGGAGGAAAAACCAACTTACGTCACCTATGAAGGAATGAGTGACTGTTGATTGAGTTATTTCTTGAGATACAGATTTCAATTGCAGCTTGGTTGGTTTTACAAGTCACTAGTTTACACTACAAATTCGAAAGATTTATCTTTAACTTAATCACTAATGAAGTTAGTCATGGATTCTATACAATCGAGATTATAAACTGTCTAATTAGGACTCAGTGATGTGAAGATACCATATTTGGTTAAAACTCGAAACATGGTAAGCAGAGATGGATAGTGGCTAGCAGTGGAATCCAGTTTAATGCGCGTTTCGTCCTATTTGGGGCTCGTCAGCTGGATGTGCATGCATCTCAAAGTTAATGTCCACTCTGGGACTCGAGCCCAGTACCCTCGCTTCAAACGCCATCGCGTTAACCACTCGGCCACAGAGACTGACCGGCTGCAGTCCTAACACGTCGATGGGCAGATTCAAACAAACAATACTAAATGAGTTTAAAACTTGAAACAGTTTAAAACTCAATCTCCTATTGGTTGTGTGCGACAAGTACTGAGAATTAAATTAAAAATGTACTTATCCTATAATAGAATAGCTTAATAATTACCGTAGAACGACAACAGTTCAATCTGATTTAAAGAATAGGGTTATTATTCTACGGAGGTTTAATAATATTGCGGAGTATGCTACTTATGTCTGTCAACATACGTAGTATGTAAAACTAATCAGAATTGTAATATCTGGCATCAGAAGGCTGAGAAGGTTGAGTTGAAGAAAACAGAAGGGGAAATAGAAAGAAATTGTGAATTGGAAGAATCAGACAGAATGTAAAGCACATTTAATATACGGTTCTCATATTCTGTAATTTCGTATATGAAATAGTAAATTGGTTCTCCCAACTTGAGTCCTTGTCAACTGCAGTATGAGTGTATTGATATTGACTGTGATGGAATTTGTGACATACACACACTCACAAACACCATAGAACACAGGGATACAAATAAACACTACAAAGTAAGGCTTGTATTCATCAAAAAAGTTTACTATAGATCTCATCATTACCATTGATAATGATGTAGATCACAAAGATAGAAAGAGACGGAAGATAGAGAGAGTGAAAGAAAGAGAACATTATTATTGAATCATATTTTATTATGTGTACATTAAGAACATGATACTATGCAAATAATAATAATGAACATATTCAGAATTTCTATGGAAATATTTCATATTTATTTGTGTATTCAATTTAGAAAAAAAGATCATTTACATCACTTTGTATTTTCTTTAAAAAATAGAATTCATTATATTCCATCTTGGTATAGAAGTTGAATAATTGATAACATTAATCTGATCTTTTATATCTTTAAATCATTGGAAAACCTGGAAGCACTGGACGGCCGTTTCGTCTCATCGTAGGACTCCTCAGTAGTGCTCATTTACGATCCCACTTCGAGAGATTCAAATCCAGGACCTATCGATCTCGCGCGTAAACGCTTGAACTCTAGACCACTGAGTCGGTATCCGACGGTGTCAATGTCTAATTTTAACCTATCGACGAAATTGAGCAGCCATTCACGAATGTCATCAGTGAGTTGATATCTCCTAACAGACCTAGTTGAACTCCAGTGCTTTCAGGTTTTACATAGTAGTTTAACTTCAATTGACTCATGATTTCAATTATATAAAATTACTAAAATCTCCACAAAACCCCCATTCTGAAAATTTTAAATCAGTCAATAACATTCATCATAGTACATTATATATTATGATCTATAAAATTCAATCAGGACTATGATCAGGGTATAACAATAGTTACTAACGTGTGATATGATAATCTATTTGTATATATTTTTTCAAAAATTTTAATTCCAATAGTTAATAATATTAACTGTTGTTCATATTAATTATTCTTGTCGACAAATGTAATCTTAAGGGATTTCTCAAATGACTAATTTTTTCATTGTGAACCACTAAATTACGAGGTTTTGTGCTCGTAAAGCAGCTGAAAAGATGTAAATGTGTCCTTCATCCTGACCAGTTTAACACTATGAATAAACTTAAAATTACTTGTGTCTCAGTAATTCTCCAGGTGAATATCACACTGTGATGATATTCAAATTCAAAATATGTAGTTGAATTCTAAGAACTTATAAAAAACATTGATTCGTGCCATTTCCTTGCTCTCCTTCAAAAGCAATTTAATGACATTGCTCAGTATAGGTCACAATAGCCAATATCTATTCACTATTTTAATAAAAATGTTTATTCTTTTCATTCCACGCATCTACTTGTGCTTCTGGAATAATAATATTTATCTTTCATCTGATAATGTTATTCCTTCTACTACCATGGAATTCGCTCCTATAGTTTTATCATCTTGTTCCGAAGTTGTGAGGCAACGTGAACTAATGACAATAAATGTCATGTCCTACGTAATAAATGATTGACAAATTAAATGTCAATCTGAATATCAATTAAGAATTAAATATAAATAACAGAATTAAAAAAAACTAATAACAATTATTTGTGGAATCACAATACTGATTTCGGTCATCAGTAACATTATGTTTAGACTCGGTTAGTTTCATTGATGCTATGATTATCAATTACATCAATATCATTACTACTGTTACTAGTACTGCTATGTTGACTTCTGTGTCATCCAAGTTATCAGTTTTATCTCATTATGATAACTTAGATTTATAAGTATTCTCCTCAGACCGCACTGTGATTATGATTATATTACTGAAACAGTAGTAATAATTAATGTGAGCTTTAAAATTTAATAAATCAAGAGATAAATCACATACCCAGACACTGTTTAGAAGAACTAAAACCCACTGTGGAATTCTCACCATCGAAGAAGCTTATCTTTCATAAGAATGACTACACCTACAACCTTATCAAAAGATGCTTAACAAATTAATATCATATTACACAACAAGAAAAAAGACCGTCCTATCAGATGGGAGGAAGATTTTAGAAACTATTACAAGAATTCTGAAGGTCTTTAGGATCAACATTGCTTACTAATCATCACAATCACTTAATTCCACTTTATGGATATCAAAATACACAATAGCAAAAAAGACAAATTGAACATCTATAAATAAAATTGTACAAACAGTGATAAATATTGCATTGGACAAAACAAACGTTCCTTTCATCTACGCATAAATGAACATAGATTAATGATGAAGCATCATGGTATCAGTGTATCCAGATAAGAATGGACATGAATTTATCTCTTGAAATATTGAATTTCTATATATGAATACTCTGAGAGTCTCAGGCGATTCCTAACTGATATGACTTGTGTGTTGAACGCTATATTCAGATCCTAAGCTATACGGATAACCCCAGGCTAGCACTACTCAGCGACTTGAAAGACCAGTAAGAAGACACGAGTAACAGAGAAATCACTTTACTACAAGGTTCGATTATGTACAGAAAAAACAGGGGTTTTATAGTAATTAGAAAGACCTTGAGATTCCATAGTAGCAATATGTTAACAGCCAATCAGGACCTTGTTATTTTAGTAGCATTTTTAGTAGCATAGCTTCTAACTGATCACTGATTGGTTGGTCTCTTTATGAGCCTCTCTGGAGGCTCTGATAGAGTTTATTGTATGCCGATCTAACACCTCCCCTTTTTTGAAGAAGCGGGGTAGGTATCCAGACTGCATTTGCTGACTTCAACCTCCCCCACGAAACAATGTTGGGTCCCCAACTTTCGACATAGTGCCGTTGTTGCAGATTGAATTTATGGGACGATCTAATAATTTCAACTTTTCTATCCAATCAAGTCCCAATAAGTCGAGTGCTGGCCGTTCTGTCAAAAATATTACTCCCTTCTTTGTAAGCTCTGCGACTGTGATTTTACAGTGAACCTCACCAGCAACGTTTATAATCCCCCCAGATGCGCCGTGTGCTGTCTGATAGGTTGAAAATATTCTCGGCCTCCCAATTTTCTCCCACGTCCTCCTGCTTATAAGCGTTATATCGGAGGCTGTGTCCAGCTGTAAGCGGGCATCGTACCCGTTAATCTTGAGGGAAACATACTTTCTACGATTATGGGAGCCGATTCTGTTAGCAGCTACCGTCACCTTGGCTGTGCGTGGCTTGAATCTTTTAGAATAAACTTTAGGTTGACGACGTTTACGGGTTTTGCAATGACTTTTTTTGTGTCCTTTCCTGGAACACGTAGTGCAACGATGACTTTTAAACGGACAAAACCTTTTGAAATGCCAACCTCCGCATAACCAGCATGGGGATGATGGTTTACCGCAATCATTTCGATAATTCTGTATACTGGAACCTTGCTCGACTTTCCTCTCAACAGCATTAACGTGGAGGAACTGGTTAGTGTTTTCTACCATCGAGGTATCGTGCTTCAAATTCACTAACCTTTGACATTCATTAGTCACTTCCTGCAGGGTCATGTTGGGACAATGCTCAAGTTTGCTTAGGATTCTCGTTCGGATGTCAGCATCCTCAGGTGAACGCAGGCTACAGACAAATACTAAGCATTTAAACTGGTCTTCAGACATGGAAGACAAATTGAACCTCTCGCATTCTCGGTTCACAATACCTGCATGTTTCACCCAGTCATCTCCTGATTCTTTCGTTATCTTCAAGCACTGGTAACGGATATTAAATAGAGACGACTGTTCTCCAAAGATTTGAGACAGGGTTTGAATTGTTTCATCAAAACTAAAGTCTCGTGGGTTCTTCGGGAGAATAAAGTTACTATAGCGTTCATGTTCTGTTGTCCCAAGCTTTCTTAGAAGTATTCTGACTTTTGAAGCGTCATCCAGTCTGCAGAGATCAATATGAAACAAATCTTCATACTTCTTAAACCAAGAGTTAAAAGTGACACCTGCTGCACCATCAAAATTAAATTCATGGATTGCGTTAATAACTGAGTCAGTATGAGATACTTGAAATTCACCAGCAGCAGAGTTTTGTTGAGACATACATAATTTCTGCATAAGAGCTTCCATGACTCTGATTTGAGACTGTTCAAACCGTTTTTCTTGACGCTCCATATAAGCTTCAAATTGCTCTAAAGAAATACTCATTGTCATTTTTTTTTTTCGTCGCCAGTGATATGTCTTGTAGTTTTTCCCCGTCGCCACTGATATGTCTTGTAGTTTTTCCCCGTCGCCACTGATACAACGTATGCCCTGAGCAGTCTTGGGTGCTATTCGGTCCTTCCTATCTGCCTAGCCCAGCCAGTTGAGTCCAGAACACAAATAACAGCCTCGGAAATATGAATCATTATTTACAAGCATACTGGGTTTTTATACAAACCAAAGTAATCAATAAACTGATTATAACTCAAGAATCGTATGATCATAAATCAAAGATCAAAATAATAGAAAACACGAATATGAATAATTTAGTTACGTAACAACTGTACAATAAGAAATAGTCATAATACATTGGTCGATAAATAGTCCTTAGAGTTACCATTCATAATTCACCAGGGGATATAACACCTCCCCTTTTTGAGAAATACGGAGTTGACATCCGGATTTTAAATTTCTCGAATTCATCCTCCCCCACGAAAGACTGTTGGATCCTCATGTACCCAAGTTACCATTATTGTGACATTATTTAAAACATATTCGTCGTATTTAACTGAAAATCCACGAGAACTTATTAGATCGTGAGGATCGACGACATTCGATTTGAGGTCACCAGCGTCTGATTCTTCTGAAACACTTTCCTTGAATTTACTCGGAACCTCATTAGTAAATAATGAATCATTAGGATAATCAGTATCTATGAAATTTGTATTGGATTCTTGATTATCATTTAATGCATCCGATATTTTTCTCCCATTTTTATAAGAGATTTGAACTGGAACATATGAATCAGCAAAATAATCGGGATCTCGCAGAACAATTAGATAATCTTGATCATTAGATTCATAAAAAAACTTTTTTGCATCATGACTGGTTTGATTTGGCGTCACTGTATTCAATATACTGGCCGATTTGTTCCCCGTTTCTTCGTGGGCGGGTACTACAGTAATTCCATGAGCATTTAGCAAAACATTGTCTTTCTGTAAACAGGTTGATCCACTGTTTGCACGTCCGTTTTCGGGGTTAATAGGACTTGGACCGTGTATAGGGCATGTCTCTGAAACAGGCAGCACCGGACTACTGGGCTGATCATGTAGGACTGTTACTGCTGCATCTAAATTACTGTTTTTCGCGGATTCATTGAGGCTTTCCTCTGCATATTCATTTGTTCTGTAATCGACTTCCAGTTCTGTACGCAATTTAGAAATCAATGCGTCAACTTCCGTTGCACCCCCAAAGCAAGGGTGATTCAGCAGCGTCGCGTGTAACTTGTCAATGAAATCCAACTGACTCTTTTTAAAACGCTGCTCTTGTCTCTGAATTAGCAACTGAAATTGATCGGAAGTTAGAGCCATTTTTTTTACCCTGTCGTCAGTTGTTATATCGTATGGGCCCGTAATTTATATGAACGCCAATTTAGAGAGGAGTGAATTTATTGATCGGATGCAAATGATGATTGAAATCGTACGAGCAGTCTTGATTGCTGTATTTTTTTCCAGAATCCCCGTCGAAAACTGTATACTTTTTTCTTTTGCGTACCAAAATCCCCGTCGCCACTGTTACAACGTATGCCCTGAGCAGTCTTGGGTGCTATTCGGTCCTTCCTATCTGCCTAGCCCAGCCAGTTGAGTCCAGAACACAAATAACAGCCTCGGAAATATGAATCATTATTTACAAGCATACTGGGTTTTTATACAAACCAAAGTAATCAATAAACTGATTATAACTCAAGAATCGTATGATCATAAATCAAAGATCAAAATAATAGAAAACACGAATATGAATAATTTAGTTACGTAACAACTGTACAATAAGAAATAGTCATAATACATTGGTCGATAAATAGTCCTTAGAGTTACCATTCATAATTCACCAGGGGATATAACACTAACAGCATAACCTTCAGATGAATTAGCAATCAGCAGACACATTGACGTAAAGTCAACTAATCACAAAGTCGACGGCCAACCGATAAAGACATTCAACGTTAATACAAGTACAAATGAAGACAATAAGATCTAAGAAGACACTGAATCACAAACACTATGTCAGGATGATCAAGCATAAATGGAAATTTCAATTTTATATACAATAAATTTTCAAAATATTTTTTTTTAAAATTACTTACTTGTTGTTTACTTGCAAAATAAACGATCAATATAATGATATGTGTAATTATAAAGATAGAAATAGCTGCAATGTACTAAAATTTCAAAAGGAAAAGAAAAGTTAAAAAAGATACTACAATCAACCAGGTTTCAGATCATTCTTGTTGATAATGGAACAAAAAAAACCCTCATATATATGTATCTGAAGTTTAGGAGAATGGTTATGTGTTGTCATAGTAACCAACCTACAATCATTTTCGATTATGGTTAATTTTGGTTAAGCCTTTTTATTCACTTACTTAAAAGACATCGTCATTTGGATAATAACAAATTGCATAATCTTAGTACTGTTATGACCACTAGAACATATGACACTCTAGCCAAAATGTTGATTAATGAAGTATGATTCGATAACTCATATTCCTATTATCAGCTATTGTTTTGCTGTGCCCTTATTAAATTTCACTATAAATTGTCTATGTAATTGCTTGCTACTCACTCGCTTCCTGCTCGCTCGCTGATATTCGCTCAGGTGCTTGTAGCTTTCTAGCCTGAGATAATAAACTGTAGTTGCCGCTTCTCTTTATCTTCTGATTTTACGCACCGTTAAGAATGGAACTTATATCTCCCGTTCACGGGTAGAATATAGTCTTTTTTATTGTTATCCGAGTCAGCATTCGGAATTTTTAATTTCATACACAGAGGTATCAAGTATCATCGTGCAAGTTGAAAGACAAAGTTACAGAGGGTAATAGGATCTGACGAAATAACCATCAAATGTTCCTTGGTTTCCAAAGATTATGCTGTTAATATCAGACTGTAAACCTTCTACTTTAATAAGTATTTAACACTTGGTTACGCCCTAATATCATTACATAATAACCAGTAATTTTCAAGGCTTAAACAATATACTTACAATTTTTAAACATAATGAACTTTTACAACATGATCCCAAAATTCCAGCAATACAGATTATAAGTATAATCAAACCAATCGCAAATATAGGTCGACTGTAATGACCTGAAAATATTCAAATAAATTTTAGATTAAACATTGATCTATCTTTGTAGAACTATACTTATACATACAAGTGTGGTATAAAGTAGTCGTTCGCTAATGCTCAACTTAATAATATTTTGTTTTATTCCAACAGTTGCTAGGATTAATCCATCATTCATATTTCTAAATCAAGAATCAGTAACTAAGCGGGGAGTTAGATGACCAGAAGAAAGACTGTACTTCTTGGGCACTTCTCAATGAAAAGATTTCTGTCATCTGGAAAACGAAACCTATATTCTTCAAAGAATTAATCAATTGTTTAGTTTAGTACTTATAACTAATCGAAAATAATACTTAAAATTAAAGTCCAAATAGAAGTATAAAATGAATATACCTGTCCATTTGCGATTTATTTTGAGCCTTACCATTTTGTTTTTTCAACCATAAACTATCATTACCACTTAAACCACGAGCACAAAGTCCATACTTCCGTCAGTAACACTTCATTAAAGACACTTACGATCACATTACTAGGAGTGTGAATATCTACCCTGACTTCAAACTAGTGTTTCATAGTTAAGAAGTAACACAACTGATTACTGGATAACACAGTGTCTCTTTGATTGACAGATATATGTTGTGCTTCTGCCATAGATGAAGCGCGGTAAAAAGTACAATCTCAGAGAAGTCATTTAACCACACTATCCGTCACTGTAAAGACAAAAGCTGTATTATCTTACCACAGATGAATAACTTACGTTTAACTGTGTGAGTTCCCACTTCTTCCATTAGATGTGAGAGGGAAAATTTCGAACCGTATAACAGGTTGGATGGAATTCTTCATAAGCGATATTATACACAAACGTTCAGTCTAATGGATTATCCTACTACATCTATCCCATTTTTTGACTACTCAATGTTTCTCATTCAAGAAATCACACAACTTTATGAGCATCATTAAATATCTCAATATTAGATAAAGACTGATTTTCAAAAAGCCATTCATTCAATCATTTGATTAATAGTCTTATCTTTGAAACTTGGTTTAACTGGTATTTTGGGATCGATTTCGCTGAAAAACTAATACTCCCACTTCAATTACTTGAATGAATATACTAAATGAATGGTTCCATTACAACAATCATAACGATATTAATACTACTACTGATATTAATCATATTATGATTGAATATTCTAGATAGAGAAGATCTGTAGTTTATTGTTTGACTACTTCTATTCTCTTGGAAGTTTCAACAGTCCTGTTGGGATGTTGTGTCCGCAGTTGTCCACGTACATATAGGTGAAGACATAAGATGGCGTTTGATTGCTAATCTATGTTCATGCAGGCAAAGATGAAGAGGGCGTCCGCTTCGTCCGATGTAGTGTTTGTCGCAGTTGGCACAATTTATTTTGCAGATGATGTTTGGTTTGTCTTCTTTTGCCATTTCATTCCTCGGTTTGCATAAGATTGAATGAAGGGATTTTGTTGGTTTGTGAGCAACACCTATTCCGAAGGTTTTCAGCAATCTCGTTGTCGTTTCCGATATACCTTTTATGCACGGTAAGGTGATCCTTTTGTTGATTTTTGTACTTGACTTCGTTTCTGATGATAGGTGAGGCTGGTATTTTTTTGATGAAATTGATTGGGCGGCCGTTCTTTTAGAGGATGGTTTTCAGGTATTTTTCTTCATTTTTCCGTTCTGGAATTGTGTTGCAATGTGTCCTCGCACTCTTGAACAAAGTTTGTACATAGTTGATTTTGTGAGCTCTTGGGTTGTTGCTATTGTAGTTGAGAATCTGACCAGTGTGGGTCGGTTTCCTACACACTTGAGTCTCCAGATTTCCTGTGTTGGTTCTGGTGATTAATATATCTAAGAATGGTAGCTTGTCGTTCTACTCTTGTTCCAATCAATTCGGAAGAAGGTTGTGGGCTCCCAAGTTAAGACATACTATCGGTTGCTTGAATGAATAAATGGTAAAGCAAGTCACCCTGTATCAAAACTCTCGTGAAAATTTGAACGAATAATTTAACGGAATTTGGGGACAGTGAAAATGTAAGATATTAAGGTGGAGGAATGTACTTGTAAAAAATCAGCGACTGAATGTTTAGTAAATATAACGTTTCGCTTAACAAATTGTTTTAAGCTTTTTCAAGGAAATATGATCACACATTAAAATTATCGAATATATGTATATATACGTCGTTCGCCGGTTAACTGTATACTAAATTGGTCATCTAATCATGTAAACAATGTTTGCTGTAGAGTGCATGATAAATATATTGGGTAACGAAAAGTCATTATGGTTAATGTAATCTACTTGGTTGTGATCATATCCGATGACTTCAAACTTTTGGTGACATGGCTCAGAATCAGTTTCAGTGCCCCAGATACATTCATTCATTTTCTTCCATAAAAATTACTTAACCCCCTCTTATTCTACCATCCTTTTATACATCAAGATAATTCCATCTCACTGAGCTAATCTTGTTTGTAAACTTGAACCGATGCACACATGTGATATATCATACGTTGCTTACGACTGACTGACTGATTAGTTTAATGGATGAAGTACTCAGCTTCAAAGTAATAGGTTACAGGTTTAAACATTACTTCATTTATTTCGATTTAGACAACTGAATATTATCATTAATTACATTTCAACCAGTTCTATAAAAAGTAATTTACCACTCATCTTTAATGTCACATCAACAATAGTTTGTTCACTGGATGTATTTGTTAAATTCATTTTCTCAAGGTATCTACCCCATATTTCACCGAATGTTCGTGTAGTTGCAGATTTCGACCAGGTCATTAAACCACCAAGTATAGCTAATGCTAATCCAACTACCTACAGAATTGAATAGAAATAAATTAGAAATAGAATAAATTGTACTATGAAGCCTTTAAAACAAATAATTTATCATTGTATTATTGGGTCAAATACATGAGTGATTATTTTAGTTGTCAATTTGAAAGTGTTAATTCATGCAGTAAAAATAAACTTTCAATACTTCTACAAAAATTGGATAGGAAAAAATATTATCACCTACTCACCCACCATCTTTTACCTCTCGTCGCACACCAGAATTCTCCATCAGACTCTGTCCTGGGGCAATCCTTTCCCGTTGCTATTAATCCTTTTCATGTCTGCTTTCGATTCTCAACGCAGTGGGTTCTTTGGCCTTCCTTTTTTCGTTTTCCAAGCTAGAGTTTGCCTCGAATATGAAGTTTGATGATTTCCTCATTGTATGTCCCATCCACCTCCAACGTCTTTTCTTATTTTCCACTTCAACTGGAATCTGGTTTATTCTCTTCCAAATTAGGCTGTTGCTGATGGTATTCAGTCAACGGACATTGAGTATCTTGCATACACAATTGTTTATAAATATTTTTACTTTTTTGATGATGGTTGTAATGGTTCTCCAAGTTTCAGTTCCCTACTTATCTTATTTAAACACATAAATATTGGTACAAGAAAGCACCAGATACATATGTGCCGCACGAATCTCATTTGATTTGTGTGAGGGCTGGGATACTGCCCGGGTACCCAAACCGAAACAGATGGTTTTCTTAGGGGGCCACACCCGGAGCCTTTGACCTAAAGGTCTGATCCACAAGGCAGTGGAGCATCGTAAGGAGGTGTAATACCATGTTAACATATGACCAATTTTTGATTCCCTCAGGATACTGGAGCAAGCCCATGTGCACCATTAGTTTGGAATAAGGGTTTTCAAACTCCCCTAGGTGGACTCGCCTTGTCCACCAACCCGGTTGAAGCGCCAGACATTCACTTTTCGTTCTCTCAATTTCGTAAACAACAGTAATGCCACGAGAAGGCAGTGAGTAGTACTTCCCAGACAGAGGCTATATACACGTGGTCATGTGAAAGCATTTCGAGAGAGAGAGAGAGAGCGGGTCCTCCGCACTCGTGGCCGCACCAGGGCGTTTGGGGGCGCTATTCACCTAGCTATCTGTTTAAGTTATCACACTAAATCATCAATATTGCCTAAAACACATAGTATATATGCGAAATGATGAGCTATATGCAATCTTATTATGTTCTCAATTCTCATTTTAATACACCACTCAAATGGGTTCATAATTTCAAAATGACAATGAAAAATGTCGCTTCCGTAACTCCAAATCAGAAATATATTGTATTCACTTACCCCAACTACGACGTTCACAGAAAACAGTACAAGCGTAAATAGTATGTTTGCCATTATTTAATCTAGATGAATGCAATAAAATATCATTTAAATTAATATTGTCAAATAATAAACAAAATGTTAAGTGGATCACAATAGCATAGAATACATTCAAGCCCGAATCAAAGATTTTTACTATTGAATAAATTCAACTGTGATCATTGTGACAAACACTTAAACAATAGACACTTTACCAATGATCATCTAGAGGATCAAATTAATATTTCATGAAATATTCGTAAGATATTTTGTTTGTTTGTTTTTTCACTATTTTGATGATTTAAAGAATCGTATTACAATCCATTGGCTCCTTTAATTTGCCGAAATATAAATTTCTTTTGATGATTCGTTTGTAGTAGTAATGACTTTATCTGTTATCAGCTGATTTAATTGTTAATGTTTCAAGTTTTCTAATGTTATACTAAGCGAATCAATAAGTTTTGCCACGGACGATAGATGAGTGGTGCAAATCATTAGGAACGCCTGTATTATAACTTTGTGTCAGTCATCAAATCTATTAACTTTAGAAAAAATATTCACCATGTGAGTTATGAACCAACATTATCCAGTGGTAAACTCGAAAATTTTATCAATATTCTAACTGACAACTGATTTGTAGGACTAAATTCATGTTCTTTAGTTCATAGATCTAATTAAATTATATCAACCGACCGACAAAGTGCTACTTTGTAGAGTACACAACATCATTCTGGTTATTAATTACCGACTGATTTGTACTTTTTGAAGTTTTAACTTGCAAAATCTCTGATCCATGATTTTTAGTTTTTTTTCAGTGATTAGTTTAAAGTTGGTTTTAGACTCAAGTCTTGCTGATGCTAGCGGAGATGATCATTTTAGTTACGTTTGTTTAGTTAGAAGTTTTACTTTCTACGTTTCAGTAGTTGTCTAAACTGTTCACAGTTCTCTTATTTGTCATGGAAATAAAACGAAAATGCGATCAGTTTTCACCTACAGAACTATAATTAGGAACTCGATTCAATACTTTTGTTCTTTTCGATAAGGTTGAAGCAAAGGAATCAATGGAATCAGAAGTAATAATTTCAAGACCATTGAAGTAAATTATATCATCCATTCTCAAATCTTTTACTGAGTACAGTTTGCCTAATGATCTTTTTGAGATAAGATGGTTTCGTGCTACTTGGTACTCGTCAGCAAGGTGTACCTATAATCTTGAGGGAATTAATGCCGCCTGACGGATTCGATTCTATGCCACCCACCTACGCGATCAGAGAAGTTACTACTGAGCTATTTGGGTCGCAACTGGCCTCCTGTAGAACTAAAATGTTTTTACACTTGACTGATCACTGGGTGGTGATCGTTGTTATGTATACCAGGTTCTTTTTATAACAGATCGAATCTTATCGAAAAAGTTGTAATTTGGCCACTAGTCCAGGTACACCTTGCTGACGAGTGCCCAGTAGCACAAAACCTAGGTTCAGGGTCACATGTTGACTACCTCCAACCAACATCTTATCTCAACATAGTGTACGCAATGTCGAGTCACCTAGACTAGTGGCCACATTGCAACTTGGTCGATAGGATGACATCTGTACTAACAAGGATCTGACATCCATAACATTGATCACCACCCAGTGATCAATCGATTGTTACAACATATTCTTTTTTGTTCATAATTAAAATACTTTATCATTGAAAAGCAATTTCAACATTATAAGATATGTAACCGAATACATTTTAGTAAATACAGTATTTACAACTAAGTGACATTCAGCAGTACAATAATACATAAGTGATCAGTAGTTTATAATAAACTATTTAAAGTTGTCTAAAATACGCTCAGACAATACAAGAACCATTTTCATTTAAACAAAACAATCAAACATTCACAATGAAATTTAATCATTAAAACAAAATTCAGCAGATAAGTATTCCGTTTATTATGTCACCAAGATGTAAATTACATTGATATCAAGTGTAAAACACACAACGAAAAAAACAGGAAACGTTTTTTGATCGACATATTCTGTTAACACTTATGATGTTTTCTAATTGTTTGTACATTGTTCTCTTATTTTTTTATTTATTATTATTAGCTTTATTCAATATTATATTATTTGGTACAAAATCGAATTCTCAGCACAAAGTATTTCAACATGTTTACGTTTCTTATTTCTTCGTTGCTCCTGATGTTAAACATTCAGTGATCACCAGTTGGATGTCAGCAGTTCAGTCAATCGACATATGAATAATGTATATTCTTTTTGCTGCATGTTCCCAGCAAACACGACATCTCTGATTAGACCTTTTCTAACTTTTACAGCGAAAGGTTGTACAGTTTTCAGAAACGCACCGGAATAGGTTGTGTGCTTAATAGCCATAATGATGTATTAAAACAAACAATATTAGATAACTTGTTGAAATATATAGATGACGGGAAACAGGTAGCCCAGATGTTTAAGCAGGCCGCCCTCATATTCTGTTTACACTTATGATGTTTTCTAATTGTTTGTACATTGTTCTCAATGTGATACATGACACATGATTCACATTCTGTAAAGACAAAGATACAAGATAGATCAATATAATAAATTTATTTTGAAATAAAGTTTTCTTAATTCAAATGACATGTATTCGTTTCTAATTTCGAAGTTGTTACGTAATGATGGATAGTGCTAAGCAGTGGAATCCCCCCACTATTGCACAAACAAGTGGCTATTAGGACTCAGTAGGTAAGTGGATAACGCGATGGCGTGTGAAATGAACAGTACTGTGTTTGAGTCCCAGAGTGAACATCAACTCTGATTTTAGCGTATAAACTAACATTTGAAGTGAGACTTCATTTGCGTTACAGCCATTTATGTTGAAGTATCAAGCTTTGTTGTGTTTAAAATCTGGGAAGTTGGCTAGGTTGGTTTTACTGTGAGAATTCAATGTCCAAACTTATCGACGATGTTATTTCGAAATCAAATAAACATAGACAGTTATGGATAGGAGATACAAATTTAATAACTGATGGATTACATAATCACTGGAGCGTTTAAAAGCAACTTAATTTGTATTTTATTTTTCAGAAATTCAATAAAATCTCCGTAAACCCTATGATTTCATAAAAACCGTATTCGTACTGATTACGAACTTAGAATTGAATTTTTGGAGATTCTAATAAGGAGCTATGACTTGATTGATCAATTTGCTTGACAGTTACACATTTGATAGGAAGAGCACAATGTATCATGAATCGACCAAGGTTATCTTACTTTGTCATCGTTTTATGATCTTTGAACAGATTCAATATCTCACACACCATTCATGATGATCATGTAGTCTTACAAATACACAGCTGATGCTTATTAAGCATTGGTTCATAGTTGACTTTATGGAATATGTTTACACGAAGTACCTTTAATTAGTCTGTTTCGATCGTCAGTTAATCAGCCCGATTGAGCAAGTTTATACATATAACTATTTAATATAATAAAGTTAGTTGAAGTAAACGGTAATATAATCTGATGTTATATACTCCAATGTAACCTACTGAATTTTAGTTGGTTAACGTTAAAAACTACACAAATACACCTTTGATTATTATTCAGTGATCAATCACTGTAAATATTTCAATCCTATAGGTCAGTCACAGTCCGAACATGTTTCCTCAGGCTGTGAACCAGATTTACCCGAGTTAAAATTCCTCACAGCAGGTAAATCTCTTCAATATACTAGGTATGTCTTACAAATGAATGTAAGCCAGCTTGAAACCTAGGTCAATGATTTTCTACTAAATACCTCCCACCACCTACCATGTTCCATTAAAAGAGATTTGTTACATAGGTGGTCTTTACATGTAAAGACATTCAATAGCGTTACTGGTCAAATTTTTAAAACAAAATTATCTAAATCACCTACATAAAAACATTCCTAAAAAAAGTAGTCAAAAATCTATTGGTTTTATTAAGTCGCTATAATTGATCATCATCTGTTTTTAATATCACTTTCACTGTCAAAAACAGTCAACCATTAGTTTTACGAGACACTGGGATAATTTTGCATTAATAGTTGAAATTATGGGCCAATTGAAGCTAGACCACCATGGGAAACCTGGAAGCACTGGAACGCCGTTTCGTCCTTTTGTGGAACTCCTCAGCAGTGCGCGTCCACGATCCCGCCTAGCGAGATTCGAAAACAGGACATACCAGTCTCGCGCCAGAGCCTTTAACCGGTACACCACTGAGCCGGCATTCAAGGTGTTAATGTCTAACTTCGGTTAATTGCTCTGGCGCAAGAGTGGTAGGTCCTGGGTTCGAATCTCGCGGGTGAGGTCGTGGATGCGCATTGCTGAGGAGTCTAACAGTAGGACGAAACGGCCATCCAGTGCTTCCAGGTTTTTCTTGATGGTCTAGCATCAATTGACTGATGCTTTAAACAATGAAAATACTAAAATCTCCACAAAACCCCTTGTGATAATAAATTTTAATAATTAATAGTAGTATATATCGGTTAATGATTAAATTAACATTTTACTTACCATTTTCTGAACACACTCATGTCTACACGTAGATTCAATAACTTGTTGATTCCTTAATTGTTTAATAGTTATCCCACTAAACAACTACAGTGTGACAGGATTTCTTGGATAGATATATCTATGTGTATTGACGTTGGAATCTGTTAAGTAATGAGATGTAAAGATTTAAGTAAAGTACCATAATGTTTATTAAGGTATTCTTTTCAATAAATAATATGTACATAATATGGGCATTCATTGTTCAAATTTTATTTTTTTTTATTTAAACACATATATATTGGTACAAAAGGGCACCAGATACATATGCGCCACACCATTGTACCTGCTTGGGTCTGGGCACCCGGGCAGTATCACAGCCCACATACAAATGACATGAAATGACGCACTACACTAGCTACATTGTTCAGATAAAAAACACAAAACTAAATGGCTCAATAGAAGTAAACTTATCAGAAAATTTAAACAATTAATTACATAATCAATCAATATCAGTTAGATGATATCAAGTTAATCTAGTTAACAATATGTATATACATGTCTTAATTTCAGTCAGTCAGTCAGTCAGCTACAACGTAGGACCAGGCACATATATGCATCGGTCCAAGTTGCCATACCTCTTTAGCACATCAAGATGAACACCGGATTCATAGAAGCAATTAATTTAGTGGTGGTAGTATATAAAGAAAGATTGTATAGAAGGATATAGTATAGGAAGAAAAAAAGTTATGAAGCAATTTTAATCTCAAGGTTTAAGGGAAGATAAAGAGTGTATACACCTACGCCATTGTGATCGATTCTGAGCCATGTCACCTAGAGTCTCCAACCATTTATTACGATAGTCACGCGGACCCCAACCAGGTAGTCTGCATCTGCCAACATGGCTCAGGCTAGAAGTTAGTGACTTCAAACACTGATGCCATGTTTTGGTTTGGCCGCCCCTAACTCTCTTCCAACCGTCCCCAATACTAGTCATCATAGCGCGTCGTGGTAATCGGTGTTATGTCTTAATTTAGTATTATCTATTAAAAAAAGTAACAATGAATAGCCCTTCTGAGGGCTACTGACGGTCCCAAGTCCGGATAAAGGAGGAAGGTTGGGCATGTGGCTAGCGATTCCATCCCGTAGAAAACTAGCTCGCTAAAAAAACGCTAACAATAATCTAATGTGGACAAGTTTAATTATTCTGTGAATACATTTGAACTTGATAGTTTCATTGTTAAAGAATTTGATTATCTTGGGCTTTCATTAACAATCATGGTCATTGTTTGTTTGTTATTTTATAATAATTAAATAAATTGACTTTAGATAATTTCAGTCTTAAACATTATTATTACAATACTATCATCTCATACATTTTGTCTAACTTTTAAGGATCTGTTTTTTTCTATGTCAATGTTATTCAGGATTGCATTAGATTAGTTTCTGTTGGAAAATCTTCATATTGAAGGGATTCCAAGATGTTTTCTTTGGAATGTTGATAACAATAGAACTCAGTTTTTATCATATTTATGACTTGTAAAATGAATGTTCTTGGATTCCAATTTTTTAATGTACACTTTAACTCGAACCCAGTGAAGGTCAC